TATATATATATATGATTCATTCAGTCAAATATTCCGACAGTTTGAGTGAAAAGTGCAATAAAAACAAATGTTATTAAACATTAAACATGCAATTTTTAAAAACGTATTTCATTAATGATATAAAATTCACCTGGTCTACAAAGATCAGTCTTACCTTGAGAGATCTGCAGGGTGTCTGTCAGACTCGGGGGGCTGCAGAAACCTGCTGCTGCTCACAAAAAGCGGGGTGCTGAGTGGACTCTACACCCCCCCCCGACCTCCACATGGGTGGGAGCAGCTCCGCTTATAGAAACTCCCGTTTCTGAAAGCTGCTTTGCAAAGCTTCAGTCGGAGGAGGACACCGGGAAGCGTCAGTGTGCACACACCCCCACCCCGCCCCCCCAGCTGAGGTCTGCAGAGGGACACAGAGGGAGAGAGAGAGCCCACCCCACCTTCTGCAGGGGGAGTGTCTGCCTCCATGCACGGAGACAAAACTTTAACTTTGCATGAATCCACAGACCAGTAAAGCTTTAGGTGTTAATTTGAGGGGTCAGTTGAGGTGGTGATGCGCTGCAGGAGGGGCGGGGTTAATCAAATCAAAGYGGGGCTAATTAGCATCAGGGAATGCTTTTATCATCCTTATCTGCAGAAATACACGTCACTGATGCTCTTTAGCCTTGAAAAACTGGAAAAAGGGTTGCGTATTTTACATTTTGAACTAAAGGCGTGGCATTTTTATTCACTTAAACAACAAAATGATTTAAACTATAACACTATTTTGAGTGACATCTTCTTAATGTGCAAAAAGTCCAACTAAAACAAACAACAACAGTATGGTAGAGGATTGTATTTGTTTTTGGCCTTGTAAACATTGGGAAAATGTCTCAAAACACCATTTCCCGGATTTTAAATGACATTTTTCTACTTCGAAGTTAAAATCAAACGCAGTCTGACCACATTCACTTCAAAATAAACAACTTCCGTTCTCACAAGAAGCTAAAAATTATGAGTTTGTGTAACAGTAATAACAAATCAAAACATTATGGCTTTAAAAATATCTTTGGAAGCAGAAACACATTAACCTCCTGCCCTCTTGTGGTGTCTTTAAAGAAATACATCAGCAGAAAAGCTTTAAGAGCGTTCAGGTCCACGCCCTGGAACCAAAGGTTGTCTGTCGGCTCAGCAACCAATAAAAATCATCGGATGCAAACAAGCAGCTTTAGGAGCCAATCAGAATCGAGCGTAGGCGGGCCTTGAGTTGTTGTGGTCGAAGGCTGCACTTCCTGCTTTACAGCGTGAAATCAAGAAACTGCGGCAGTCACCGGATGAGGAAAATAAGAGAAAGTGAAGGTTTGTCACCGATGTAGGAAAAAAAATCTGCTTCTAAATTTCTGTTAATCTGTAATTAAAGCAAACCGAGGATTAATAAACTGGCGAACTGAGTAGATTAAAACAGACAGAAATACTGATCACAAGACTGCAGCAGAGCATGTGATATCGATTAGAGACTAAACACAACAAAACCTGTTTCTGCTTCTTTGTTTAAGCTTTTACTGTAAGCTTGGTGGATTTAACACATGTTAATGATTTTTATGTCAACAGGACTTGGAGTGACCCCTCAAAGTCAAACGATTAATAGTATTTGTAACAATTAGGGCATCACAATAAAAATCTACGTACAAATCCACATAAAAAACAGTTCTGTTGTAAATGATTCAGTGCATTTTTCTTTCTTTTGATGGGAATGAGATTTTTTTTGTTTTGTTTTCCCAACTTTTTTTGCAGTTACTTATTTTTTAAATTGCAGTCTCCAGTAAACCTTTGTGCTCCAGTCAGAAGGATCAAACATGGTGCACGTCTACAACTGCCACCCCTTTGCCTCGCAGCAGATCGTTCAGGTAAAAGAAGCTTCGTGACGTTTGATCATGTTCATAGTTTAGCTGTGGTCCTAAGTTCTTTCTTCTCTGCTCAGGTGGAGCAGGAACCTGGACTGGTTTGCTGTGGAGGCGGAGCCCTGTTCGTGGTGGCCTCAGGAGGATGCAAGGTTTTTATTCATCTCTATATTAAATCCCTATTTGGAAAAAAAGACGCGCTTGTTGCGACATTCTCRATATCCTGTGATGTCTTTTTAAAACCAAGGTGGAGGCGTACAGCCTGGAGAGGGAGGGCTGCCCCCTCATCTGTCGGTTTGCCACTATGGGCACCGTGAGGAGTATCCAGCACAGCAACATAGGTACAGGCATCTCAACAAGGGCTGGTTTTTCACTTCTTTTCACGCAGTTACTAAAATGTCTCATTTAAAGGAGACACATCCTGCTTTTAAGGCTGTGTCCAAAACGACAGGCCGGGTCCTCCGAAGGCCGAATGGGTCCTCCG